AAGATGCTCTTCACAGTTGGCAAAAATTCCTTTGTAAGTTTACTTTTTAACTAGCTCTACTCCAGCAAATGTTCTTTTCATTAAAGCTGTCAGTGATCGCAGAAGCAGCTTGTAAATGAACAACTTGGATCAAGGTGTGTAATGGTGGTAAACTCCTGCCTCTGTCGTCTGTCAAAGGTTATTCTTAGTGACGTACTTAGACTGAGCGGGTGTTTCATAGTGGAAGGATAAAGTTCCATTACACTCTTATTTCTGAATAAATGAGGGAGCAAACTGAGATTAAAGCTCATTCTCAGCATGCACAAGGAGGCTTTTTTTTCCTGTTGTTTTGTAGCTTGAGAGCCAGGTGGAAGATAGAGGCACCATCCTTGTTGCAGACAATACAAGCCACCAGCCAGCTATTGCATTAAGGGGAAAAGTAACTTGGCAGAAAATAACCCCCCTTGTGTTCTGGCTTGTCCTCAGATACCAGAGGGGCAGGGGGTAGCTGGGCTGAGATTGAGTGATGCCCAGTTTGGCATGAATGGTCCAGTCACACCCAATGCCTCTGCTGGAGTCTCACCATTCCAGGTGCATTAATGCCGCACTGTCCATCCAGCAGTGTCCTGGGAACGCTCTTGGGAATTTGCTCGTGTTCAAGAACTCTCATGGCCAAATTCGTGAACAGTGTAATTTATTAAAGTTATCAGACATGCCTCTGATTTTTTCCACAGTACCTTTGAATTGGGTTGTTGCCACGGAGCATGGCCATGGTGTCTGCACTCTGCTCCACCCTCACATGCAATTGCTCTTAGAGTTAGCACTGTTCCCCTGATGTTGCTATCATCTGGTGCTGCCTAGGGAATTGCCATGGTACAAACTTGTTGCACATTAGCTGCATTCCAACCTGCCTCCATGTTGTCTTTTTCTCAAAATGTGAATATAAGTTTAATTTCTAAGTCACCTCCAGCAGTTATTCCACATACTGTTCCTGGAAAACAAGTGAAACAAGAATGTTTTGAAACCATAAAAGAATGAAAACAAAGCACTGACTAATGTTTAATCGAGCTATTACAAGATACTTGCTTTAAATTTTTGAATTCAGTTTTCCTGTAGGCACTTTATCAAGTGTTTCTGCTTGTACTGTGGCATTGTACTTATTAGAACTTGGCATAAACAGTATGTTGTTAACTATTTCCATAACCTTAGAGGAAGATTATCAAAACCAACCCTAACCTTGAAACGTGTCTTCAAATGATTGCCTCTATCATTGTACTCTTACAAATCATTGTATCTATATATAAAAAATAACCTGTACAATCGTTAACTCTTTATATCTGCTTTAAAATCCTTTAGTGTCTGTTATCTTTTCAAAATACAAAGATTAAACTCTGGATTGATAATGACATCAGCATAAATATTGCATCCCTTCCGGATGCACCGAGCAAGTGAGTGGCCAGCACACTTTCAGATAACTCCTAAGGTAATAAATTACCTGTGTCCATGGTGCATTTCCTTTGGGTTCATGAGCAGTTTCCTCCTGGGAAGACTTTTTTATAGAAGTCAGAAACCAGCCTTCAGAGTTGGAGGTAGAAAGAAGAACCTTTGCCTTTCTGTTTCCTAAAAGTTCTTTCTAAACTTGATAAAATGTTAACAGAACATAAATAGTAACAGTGATAATTCATCAGAGCTCTTATTGCTTGCAGAACTTGTCCATGGGGATTGCCAGGGAAGCTTTCTCCTTTACAGGTTTTGTCAGCAAGCTGAGTTCTAATTGTAAGATAAAGCTTGAAGACTTGCAGGAGCTAATGATTAATAGAAACTGACATGGCAAGAAAGCAATCTCATGATCGCATTTTTGTGTTAATAAATACCTTTACAAGCTCTGGTCAATTCACAGATAAGGCACAGCACGGCTTCAGAGAAATGCTGCTGCTTTGCTTTCCTTTGCCCTATTTTTTTTTTAAGACTGGACTTGCTATGTCTTCTAAGGCTCCTCAGAAGAGGGAGTTGACCCTGCAGTTGGTGGGATGCATGGGGACAGTGGGAGTAAACTCTGTGGCACTAGCAGGAGGTGCCCACATGCTATCTGGAGCAGCTCTTAGAGCTGGGCAATGCCTGGTCTTTTTCCACAGGTATGGAAACTTCTCACACTGTTCTGTTGTGTGGTGCAGGAAAGTGTTCAGAGAAGCCAGGCTTGCCAGTGCCTCCATGTTTTATTCTCTTAACCAGTGGCTTCCAAGAAGGGAAAAGAACTAAGGGAAAGATGCTGTTGGGTAGGTCTGCTGGCCTGCTGGAAGGTGCCTGCTGACTAGCATGTCTGGTAAACCACACAGTACTTGGTTTAATATCTGCCTGCTGTGTATACAAAAATACAATTTGTTTGCTGCCTTGTTGGCCAGAGCTGGCCTTATCAGCTCACTGGACTGTATCTTTATGGAAGACTTGTTCCACAAACCACAAATGTTTCAAAAGCAGCTAGTGGTGTAGTCAGATGCAGTTGTATCTATGAGGAGCAATGTGCTTAGCTCTGGATTTTCCTATTTAGGTGGAATCCTTTGGCATGCTGGGAGGAAGGTAAGTATTTAATACTAAAAGCTGCAAGGAGAGGTGGATTTGTTCAGTTTCCTTTTCCTGCAGACCCAGAGAGCCTCTGGTTCCAGCCTTGCCCATAACCTGCCAAACCTTAATTATCTCCTCTCCAAAGAGTGGGTGTCTGTGAACAAACAGGTGGATGTGCGCATCTTATTGTTTTGGATGAAGTCTCTAACTGGTTGCTGGGCTAATACCAATTTGCAGCTGAAAGCCCAGAGTAATGGAAAGTCTTGTCCTTCTTTTGCTGTTGTTTCTGCCTCCAATGTGTTCTGTCCTTACTAACACTGCTAAGAGCTGCCCTCTTCTTTTCCTATTCCTTGCTCTAGGCACCCTAGCCCTTCCCCAAATGCTTCCCCAGCTGCCAAGCTAAGAAACTTTCTTTTGGAAATTTGAGAGAGTAAGATTTTATTTATGTTTTAATTTTCAAAGATCACGTTCTCTACAGTTGCAAACCAAATACATTGTGTCTGGTTGGTCCCTTTCCTCCTTGGTGGCATTATATATGCACAGAAGGAGTGAGCTCTGACCAGAACAGAAGAATTTTATTATTTCTACCAGTTCTTCTAGCTCCTTTCCTGCAGTGTACCACTGCCATTATTTTTTTAATAGCATAAAGTTTCATGTTGGTGATTCCTTTCCTTCTGCCAGATACAAAAAAATACTTGTTAAATTTCTGTACCAAGCACAGAGACCATGGAGCTGGAAAAAGCAAGTTCCTTGTTTTCATTTAGACACAAATTTTGAGCTAGCTTCCAGGCCAGAACTTGCATCTAGTTCTCCCAATAAATTCCTCAAAAGAATATTCCTGCTCATGAGGAAAAGTACCACAAAAATAGTACTCACTCTCTTGGACTTTGTTCCAGTTTCTTCAGGCAGGAATATCGTGCCCTCTGTTCTACAGCAATAAAAGAGACTGCTTAGTGGAGATGAAGTACATCTGCTTTTACAACTGCATTGGTTATGCTGCTCTCCTTAGAGCCAGTTTAGAACAGGGAATGTCCACACAATGTATAACAGTAAACAAAAAGCCTAGAAAATTATCTGGGTTCATTTGGTAAAATCCCACTGATTCATCTTGTGACTTGAAACTCATTTGCTTCTATCCTGCCATCTCTGCTCTGCCTCTAGGCAGTTTGTCCAGTTGCAGTATGTGACAATGGTATGAAAAGCACATATGTCTGCACAAATGAGAGCTTGTGTCTAAAGGAAAAACATTATTTTGTAAATGTTTTCTATTTTTATTAGTTACAAGTAGGTATTGGAAGCAAGAAGCAAACAGCAGTACAGAAATAGCTTGAAAATATGGATATTATTTATATTAAATTAAGCATTCACTATGCAAACTCATTTATAGTATCTTTTCTTCTGTACTGTCCTTTGCACTGGACTAAATGAGCCACAGGACTTGAAGCTTCTTGATAAATTATGAGATGCTGACCCTGCTAAATCCTTGGCCAAGATCAGTGGACCTCCTCATTTGGCACTCAAAAGCACACATGATGCTAAGTTTTTGTTTCAGTTCTTCTTGTGTATTTGTGCTAATCTGGAATTTACCTGTGCAGAATCAGTCAGATTTCTTCAAAATTCTCTGCTCTTGGTCCAGACTACTCACTCCCTTTGATATCTTTTTCTTTTTGTGTTGAAACAGGAAGACAGTCAGTCCTGAATTTAATTTTACTGGATGCACAAGAAAAGGAGTGGAGTTTTTCCTTTTTGTTTTGACTTTGAAGTTTTCCTTTCTGAGCTGAGCTTGCGTGGACTCTGGATATAGTGTTTAGATTTCACCTTTCAAATGTGGGCTTAGCAACAGTTGTGGCTTGGTAGTGTTTCAATGAATCTTCTCAGATGAGTTGTGCAAACCCTGCTTTTCTGCACCATGGTGTGCAAAAGGCCCACATCAGATGTGGGCTTTTAAATTAGAAGGGAGGGGTCTGCCACTGAATCACCTGTAGTTAGTATGAAAGAATATCATTATGCAAATGCAACCCTTCTTCCTTGGGACATAAGGAGGTGTGTGCAAAGGGGGTAGTAGACCCTTCACCCACGTGCATGAACAGACATGCATGGAGCAGCTGGACAGCACCATATACAGGAGCTAGAACAAGCACTGCAGGTGAACTCTGATCTTTGCCTTTGAGCACGGTGGGATGCTGAGGTGCTTGCTCTGTTCTTGCACACAGGCAACTGTTGTTAAGCTATTTATAGGTGAGTAAGTAAGAATCTGAAGCAACTTATCTTTTCTTCTTGGCACAGTGCCATTATGGTGATCTCTTGTGGCATATGTTGTAACAAAGTGCTGTGATGATTCAGCATATTTTTTCCAGGGCTGTGTAGAACTTTTCATCTTGCTCTGCTGTTCCCTGTGTGCTGCAGTAGGAGCTCTTCTCCCACAGGGGCCTGGCCACGTGAGGCTGTCTGTCTGACTCCTACAGCTGTGTCATATAGCCAATTGCAATCTGCCCTTTGGATTTGTCTTCAGCATGGTTCAGATGTTCTTTGCAAGATCTTGCTGTTTTCCTTTTGCATTTGCTTGACACAAGCATGCAAATGCTTCTGGTCAAGAAAATCCCAGCTATGACTGCAAAGTAGCTGCTGTAAATTAAGAACTGGGAGGGGGAGAGAAAAAGGCAGAATAATTAGTGAAAAACCCTTTAGAGAAATATTGCTTCTTCTGGAGATGACAGGCACTCTATGGTTTTGTTTACCAGTGTTCTGGCACAGCTTCTCTATGTTCAAGTTCTTGCTTTGTAATTAAGCAAAATCTTAGCTTTTCCAGTAAACAGCAGATCTTTGAAGAATGAAGAACCACCCCTCACTTCCAATCCTTAGGCCTCTTAATAAATATCAGAGGGGCAGGGATAGAACAGGATTTTTTTTTTTTTCTACCAGTGCAATATGTAGAAGTAGCTTCCTTACCCACATAGTCATGAATAATATAAGTGAAGAGTCTGAGTGGGGCATTCTTTGCTCTTACTTGCACATTTCATTACTGTCACCAAACTGGCTCCATAAATAAACCATGACTTTGTTTCAGTGTTCCAGCAACAGTGGCAAGCCTATTTATGAAGTCCTACATGTCCTGTCCTTACTTTTAAAGTTTTAATTTTTAGTGTTTAATTCCAACACTGATCTTGTAAAGTAACTTTTGTCTTCTCTGTGCAGAATATCTGAAAAGCTTTGTTCATCTTCAAATCCATGGGAGTAGGAAGCTGCCCCAGCTGAGATCCTGTCTGAGAAAATGTAGAAGTCAGCGCATTCCAGTTGACTCCAACATTAGTAGAACTGGGCTGACCAAAGTCGCAGACACTGTGAGATAGGATACCATGCCCTAAATTAAGTGCTCAAAATATGGGCAGAAAACTGTTATTCATGTTGAGAGACTATGTTTGCTGTAATTAGAAGGTGAGTCACTTGGGCTATTCCTTTTCACTTGAGCTGATAAAACTCCATAATCCAAGCTGCGTCCCATGGTCTTTAACTCCGCTAATGTTGATCCTGCATGGTTTTCTCAGGAAAACTAGCCTGACTTTTAGAGAGGGTGTTATTTGCTGTCCTATTAATTAACAAAAGCTGGTCAGATAGCAGGGCCCAATTATTTATTTTCTGGTGTATCTGCCTTCAAAAGGTCAAAGATCAGCATCTGCAATCCTAAATGCTGCACTAAAAGACAAAAGGGAGGAATGATGGCTGACACAAGGGAAGAGCAAGGTGTCTAGATTTCTGTAGAGGAAAGAGGGAATTAGATTGTCCTTTAGCATTGCAGTTTCCTGGCAAACTCTGAAGATGAGTTGGCTAAACAATAAATGGGAAGTAAGTTAGTAGCACTTACCTGAGTCACTATGTCTAGTCCTAGGCCTTTTGAATCCACAACAACTGCTGTAAGAATGGTCTGAATCCCCAGTGCAACAAAGTTGTTGAATCCGAACATCAAGGCATAGCGCTCCATGCTCAGATTGACCGCAATCTGGAACCTAAGGTGAGATGGCAGGGCAGTTACTTCATGCTGGATGGAAAGTTGTTCCTCTCACTTTAGGTGATGAAGAGAAACAATTCATGCAGATTATATATTAAGGATGGAGTTTAATTGGTTTGTTTGTTCTAAACAACATCTTGACTACCATAGTGTATTTTGATGGTTTTGTACTTGCCTGTGTTGCTTTTCCAAACCGCATTCTCAGGTGATCTGCTTTGTCCAGTTGGGAATCAGATCTCTTTAATCCTTTTGCTTCTTCTCTGCCTTCAGACTGTGCCAGACAGGTTGTGAAGTCTCCACAGAGGCTTTCAAAGACATGGCCAGATAGAACCATGACCTGATCTGGACCTAGCAGGAATTCTGTCTTGGCTGGGATGTCAGTATAGAAGATCACCCTGAGTATTTTCTAACCAACTTTTATATGATAATGTGAATCACCTGCTTTGCAGCTTGACAGTGGAGGCAGCATACCACTCATTTCTGTCAAGAGCCAGTAGATTTGCTTTGCCAATGTTATTTTTGGCAATAATCAGAACTTCTTCTCCTTGCAACACTTACCTCCAAAGTTCCTATCCGAACAAATGTACGTTAGTCCTGCAACACCTTTTTAGTAGAATTTTATGCAGGCTTTTTGTGCAAGCTTCTAATTTTTTAATTATTATTTTATTTTTAATATGTTGAAGTAGTCCAGCTGTGATCCACCATAAAGCAGTAACAGTTCACCAAAATGATAACAGAGGATTTTCTTGGCTTCATTCAAGGTAGGTATAATTTTGTTGTGCATTATCATTTTAGCAGTTTTTTGAAATGGTATCTGAATAATTTGGGGGTCTAAAGACATCCCAATCAGTAAATTAAAGGACGTATAATAACATGGTTTTCATATATAACACAGATTATATATTATATTTAATATTTATATTTTTATTTTTCTATTTCTGACAACAGAATAGCTTGGTCTCCCAAGAGATCTTGTCTGAGTTTATATGTTCAATGTTTTCTTTTATTCCTTGTTTACATCACAGTATCATTAAGGATCAAATGTATGAAGTTATGCTGGGGAACACTCTATGCCAGATCTTTTCTTGCATTCATGCAACTCGTAGCTTGCTAACAAGTGCATCAGCAAGGTGGTCTACATACAAGGGGATCTTAAAGGATGGTTGTCTGTGCATGCTTGTTCCTCATGTTCACTTGGCATCTTCTATGCCAAGAAGAAGGGAAATAGCTTACATGTTTTGCTGTTACTGTTGTCTTTACTTTAACTTCTGCCTAGGTATATGGTAATGTCTTTTTGATAATTTTCCTTTTATGGTTGTTTATAAGAATGAAAACATTTGTTGTTGACATTAGGTGTCCTGACTTTACTTAAACATTTATGTCTTGCATTAGATAGCTACCCCTAAGTAAAAGGAGGAATGCCCAAACTTAAAGTATTGTTGGTATTTTGTGCATGAAAGTAGCACTGTAAGGGTTTATACTTACGTTGCTATTGTTATGAGGAGCATATAACATGCTTTGAAAATGAGATAACTGGCGTAACATGCCCAGACATTGGTAGTAAAGTACATGAGAAACAGAGAACCAGCATCTATTGCAGAGAAGATCCCTAAAGCCAGTTCTCCAAAAAGGTCCCAGTTAATGTTCATGTACTGTACTACAAAAGCTGTTACCGAGCCTAGAAAAGAGAAAAAAACATGTCAATCCCACACCTAGTCTACAGCCTGTATGACCAAATCTTGCCACTCTTACATGCTGAAAGGCGATGCTGTAAAATCAAGCAGAGTAGTACTGAAGTGTTTTGAAAGCATTTCTAATCATTTCTGAAGATGTGCAGATGACTGGTCATTCTTAGACAACTGCATAAATCAAGTCTGGCATTCCTTTCTGAACATTTTATTCCAGTTCACAGGATGAACTGCAGAAGGATTCATTATTTAGCTGTCTATACCTAGCATGTGTTTCTAGGGAGAGAATTAGGGGCATGGTTTGGATCTTAAGAACAGTTCTTCCTGCTACTACTAGCTGACTTTATAGCTAAGCTAGTAAGCAGTTACCTTCTAGGTTAACAGTTTTGTTCTATGCTGCTCCTAAAGGGGCTAACCTGTCAAAAAAAGTTTCCTAAGGTAACAAGTGAATATATGCAGATAAATGAGAAAGAATAGGCAGTGCTTTCTCTTCATGGGCCTCCTACAAAGAGACATCTCTTGTGAAGGCAAGCTGTCCATCTTAGGGATCTCATACCATTTTAAAACTTATATAGAGACTTCTATATTGAGAAATAGGCAATTCCATGGAAAAAAGGAATTCATCAAGGCGTAGACACTGCCAGACTTGAGTGCTTCTAATTTGTGATTCAGTTGATCTATTTAGTTGCCTACCACAAGATTAATTTTTAATCTTGGACTATCTGTTTCTCCTTAATGACTGTGAGTGTAACCTGAATGGCCATGTATGATGTAGTAATGTTTATTTTCCCCCAGTGTCTTATGCAAGTTCTCTACTGCAGTACAATACGAATATGTGAAACGCTGCCAGGTCAGGGCGGTAACCTTTGATGTCACCTTTTGATAGGATTCTTTTGCTTATGCAGTGTGGGCATCTGTTTCTGGTGAAAAGGAGTAATGCTTAATGTCAGTATTGAATTCAATAAGGTCTTTTTCTGCATATCTCCTTATTTTGGAATAAATAAAATTCTCTTTCC